TCCAATTGGCAGCAAGTACCCCAAGCTTGAGGCTGCAGGCTCTGACCGAAAGGCTTTCACCACAACAGGACCGTCAACAGCTTCAATGGCAGCGGCACCTCGCTTGTGCCCGGAGGCCAAGTCGATGGCTGCTCGGTTGCCGAGCAGGAAAGGACCTGTGGTGCAAGTCCGATGAAGCGGACGGGGTTGATATTCAACATGAGGAAGAACTTAAACATGGCCCCAGCAACATCCCCCAGCGCCTACGCTCTCCGCCGTGACGGTCACTTTCAAATACGCGGGGAGTTCAACCTCAGGCCCTGCAATCAAGTGGGAGAAGCCAGTCTCAGGGTTGACCTCATAAAAGACAGTGCCAAAAGGGAGCCCTGCATCACGAAAGCACGCGGCAATCATATTTGCATAACGACCCTCCCATCTATGCGACTCAATCTGGACACCAGAGGTGACGGCCAGAGCAACCTAGGCAATGAGAGCCTTCTGAGTCTCGTCTGCACCCAATGTGTCCGCGAGAACCATGATTGCTCGACTGACACAAGAGAAAGGGCCCAGCGTGGCTGCCTCTGCAGCAGCCTCGACTGAGAGGGGCTGATACCCACACCGAACTGGGGCTCCGGCAAGCCTCGGACAGGTGGTCACTCTGTCCCACGTAAGTGGAACGAGCCCGCATTGGCAGGCCCTTGAGCTACGGACACGACTGCAAGCGCTGCAAAGCGCTGAACGACAGGAAAAACGCATTTCTGGGCAAGGGGTTCCCGCCCCACTGCATCTGGGGGCGGCTTCATCCCTGCCCCTTAGGGCTAATAAACAAATCAGAAACGAACCAGGACATACGTGCGAAACTATCCCAGACAGCACAATTGATGCGCTATTCGAGATCTCTACCACTGTGAATGCCCCAGATCTCTAGTGCTAGATATGTGGAATAGTTATACATGAACATTTACCCCATGTATGATACTAATGTATACATTAACTACCAGAGGCCCTCAAAACCATGAAAAAACAAAGGTTTTCACATACAAAAACCATGTTTTTTGCTAGGGAAAACCAGGTTTTTGATGGTTTGTCGGGCCCCCGGTATTCCATACATAAATAGATGATCTGGGTGAGTATACACCATCATCTATTCTGGGCTCTCCCTAGAGTTGGCCTTTTACCTACTCCAAAGGGCGGACCTCATGGCTCTCTGCCCGACGAGCTCCCCGCTGCTGACCGGTCTCGCCGTCCGTCTCGCCGCGCCTTCCAGGCTGCGCCGCACGTGCGACTCATCCGTGAAGCTGCCCAGTACCTGTGCCCGACCCCCGGCGACGAACCCCAGTGGCGGTGACTGGAAGATGAAGCACACTGGGAGGTGAGACGGATGGATTTCGTGCCCAAACACGACGACCGGTCTGGGACTGGAAGATGTGCCACCCCAGACAGACCCCCACCCCAATGCACCATGAAAAACAAAGGTTTTCACATACAAAAACCATGTTTTTTGCTGGGGAAAACCAGGTTTTTGTATGGGCCATGTGGGGCCCCTAGATGTAGGGTTTCCAGTCCCATAAGCGACACTCCGTTCCATCTGGCTCCCGACGGGTCCATCTGGCTCCCGACCCAAACCTCCCAGGCGACGAGATTGGACATCCCAGGCGACGATGGGCGGCCTGATCCCTCAAGATCATCCGAAGACTCAACTTGGCTTTGAAGGAGCTGGGAAAACATTAACCCTAGGGCTCCAGTCGGACCTTCGTTTCGAAGGTGGGACTGGGGTGGGTTTAGAGGGTCCAGTCATACCTTCTAAGGAGGTACGACTGGAGCCTTAGGGTCCAACATAATTCTCCAGGTTTGGGCATGTTTCAGGTTTGAACATTTTTACCAACCCTCACGGCACTTCAGCCACTGAGTCGACCGCTCAGTCGACCGAGGGTTCCACCCGCACGAGGTGTTGAGCCGGCCGGAGGCCTTGGACTAAGGGCACGAGATAAAGAAGTATACGGGTCAACGAATTCGGTCTATTGTGCATGTTGGAACCGCTGGTCACCAAAGCCTATGTGTTTGATAAGCTGGATTGGACAAGGGTTTGAGGATTTGACAAGATCTTGGGACCCGGTTCCCAAACCTTTGCCATTGGTTTCTTAGGGACACCACAATTCACCGATTGAACACACCACGATTGGTCCTTCTTGTCTGGTTCGAACTACCCCGCCCGAGCGAGGAGTTCGTCTCATAAACTCAGAATCCACGAGGTGTTTCTTTGGGCCCCGGGAGGGGAAACTGTTTAAAACCACGCAGCGGTCTAAACCCTGGACCTCCATGAAATCTCTAAAGAGGAGGGGAACCTTTATCGCCTATCCCGCATGTACCACATATAAAGGTTGCAACTTCAGGTCTTTCAACATCTAATGAAATCCCTCATTCTCAGCGACACGTTCAGCAAACAAATCATCGCTGGGCACTTGTTTGCTGAGCTTCTCCAAACGCTCCATCGGCGCGGTTACCACGAGGAAATGAGGGACCAGTTTTGTACTGGACCCGGTGCAAAAGTTCTGGGGTATCATTTATTTTCTGGTAGTGTTTCTTGCAGAACAACACCATACTAAATGTTGTCTTTATAAAAGTGGACATAAGATATGGGACCATGTTCGTTGATGCACACTCTCCACACCTATCATGGTGTTTCCATAGTTCCATATACCTGACCTCCATCGAATGGCATACGAATGGCCTTCCATCTCATGCGCATGATCCTTTAACAGCCGATGCTTTGAACTCCGGCCTTGCCACGGCCGCTGGACCGCCGGTGGCGCGGCAGCCCGCCGTGCTGCTGGACGGCCAGCGGCTGTGAAGGGCTGCCGGAGTGGTGACGGTCTGGCGATGTCGTACACTCCCTGGTGGAAGCATTTTCCACTACAAACAGGTGGTGTTCCACTTCCATGTTAGTTCCAGGGAGAGTATATAGATTAGATTTAGAAATTGGCAAAGGTTTGCCTTTGGTTGGTGTGACGGTGTCATCAGCCCAAATAGATGGGCCCTACTGTATTACTGACAAAACATGGCCTTGCAGGGGTCAGCTTTCCGCTTCTATTCTAAACACATGCCTTGAACGGGTTTTCAAGTCATCCCTCAGGTCACTTCAGCCACTGAAGTCTCCCCAAACACCAAAGGAGGTATGCAAGCTTGCACCGGTTTGTTCGTTGACATGCCCCCCCCCAAGAGCGGAGCGGGACCAGTCCCTCCAGTCCACCGGTGATCCCCTTTCGCCCTCCACTTGAGAGAGGAGGGAGTGAACGATTTCGGTAGCAGGCAATCACAAGTAACCCTGGTAGAAGTCCATTTTCCGGCGTCAAAGGTGGATGGATGACGGACGGCAGCTGCAGCTTCGAATCACAAGACTGGACGGCCAAAAGACTGGTTTGCCATGTGAATCCACCCACAGGGTATGTCCTTGATCCAGTTGTCCTTGAACAGCTGGATGTAGATCAAGAAAAATATATTCCATATCTGGAATATGCGTATACATACCAGAACCCTCCAAGGGGTGGTGAATGGACACCCCTTAACAGCTAAGGGGCTATAAATAGACACCCCGACAGGAGGGTCCTGATAAAGATCAGGTGCCATCCAACGCCCCGACCAACACACATCCGAGAACACATCGACCAACAGGTACTGACAGGTCCTGACAGGTCATATTTCTGATATGTTTAAAGGATCCATTGCCTTTCTTGGGAATCCCATTCCCCGTAACAGTGCATCATGCCGATTAGTAAAGGCCTTTCTCAAACATAGTGATATGTTTGACTGTTTGAGGATGTTACAGGTCATGGGACACACAGGAGAGAAAGCACCAACCAATATGTGTTGAGCACCAAGTTACGGCAAGCACCGGAATTGAACACTGCGTCGAATGGGTGACACCTTCCGCTAGAAAATGCCAAACATCACATATACCTTTAAGATAAACTAAAACGCTCAAGGAATATGCTGTGAGGGTCATGAGTTTGATTTACTGGTGGGCTCATCCGAAGATTAAACAAGTATTATTCAAAACGAGGTTGGAACAAAAGGCCATCGATGACGCATCTTCTCTTTTCCAACTTATGTCACAAAAATCACAATAGAACATGGGTAGATCTTGCTATATAAGCCTTTCTTTCAGGCCATCTCAACATTCCGGCTTGTAGAAAAAGCACACACACAACACTCCAAAGACTATCTTCTAGAGGTCTCAAGGCTATCTATTTCCCAGTAACAATGCATGCAGAAATTAATGGATGCGTGCCAAGTTCATCGCTGAACAAATAGGCCTCGGTCTAATCTAGACCAATGATGAATCACCCTCAAGCCTGGTGAAGGGGAGAGTCTACATTGTGCATACCCTACCAGGGGCCCTCAAAACCTAAAAAAAAACAAGGTTTTCACATACAAAAGCCAGGTTTTTTGCTAGGGAAACCCCGGTTTTGGATGGGCCATGTGGGGCCCCTGGTAGGGCTCCAGTCGTCCACTAAACCCACCCGGTCGTCCCACCTTTGGTACCACGGTGTCGCCCAGTCGACACCAAGGGTTGGGCGTCCACTGGAGCTCGTTCCCCAGAGTCCGTTGGTCGACGAAAGCGAGGAAAGCGACGAAAGCGTAGACCCCTGGTGGACTCTCTTAGGAAGGAGGTGATCAAGGTCATTTCTCGCATTCCCTACGAGTCGCACCAGTCAATGGAGCAGAAACTCTTCATGCCTTACAGCTTCGGCCCGAAAACCCCGAAGGCCTCCTGCGCACCCGTGGGATTCTTGGCCAACCGTTTTTGTGATGGTCTTTTACCAAAGACCCAAGCTGTCTTACATTGTTTTACGGATGAAACACATACTTTTACACTCCCAAACCAGGTGCCCTGACCATCTTTTCAACACATTCTCGCTCGTGCCCTGCACCGTTCGAGCTCGCTCGCTCGGTGCTGTGCACCGGGGGAGACGAAGCACGACCTGCCCCAACGGTGCCGGTCCCTTCTGGGCTCTCCCAACGAAGCGCTCCTCCCACTGGACGGTGGGCACCTACCGACCACGAGACCGAGAGACCGAAACGTCCGAACCAGAGACCTGGAGTCTCCACCAGGGGCCCCACCAAACGAAACAAAAACAAGGTTTTCACATACAAAAGCCATGCTTTTTGCTAGGTACAACCAGGTTTTTGATGGGCCGTGTGGGGCCCCTGGCAGTATGTATCTTTAGAACATGGGACATGACCTAAACAAAAAACAGGTACGAGACTACCCATTTTCCGAGGTACGAACTGAGACACCAGTTAGGGTTTTCAGGGGTCGTCCTCATCAATCTCTTGACTTTGTGGAATCCAACAAGCTGTGAATGGTGCATCTGGGTGTATAGTAGTTCTACAGTAGTTGTGAAGAGAACCTCAAATCCCACATGGGGTTGAACAACCAATGGACAATTTGGGTATGCATCACTGGACAATGTGTCATTTTCTATAAAACTGTTTGGTTTTGTAGGTACCGTCCAATGTGTTGATTCTTGCACACGTATGAAAAGCATACAGGAAGGATCCTTCAAAAATTACACTCAATCTATGCCAACGTCTAAGGCTACCGGGAACAGTGGTAAAGCTCTGCAACTGGCACTTTTGACTGCTTAGCAGTTGTGCCCCAAGAAAAGTTCATGCCACAAGGATCCACAAGGCACCAAACACATTTGAGCGCAACGCAACACTAGCCGGTTTTACAAAACGTGTCAAGGCTAAAAAAAACAAACAAACTTTGGCTGATACCAAAGATTACCAAAGTCACACAAACGGGTCCAAGCCCCCGCACATTGCCTTCTGAACAAGCAAATAAAACATGGCCCGGATAAAACTATATATATATATACACCTATACCCAGACATACCCAAACGCTCCATGTATGGCATATTTACCTACATTGTGGGATTCATATATATATATACTTATATATATACACATCACCAACTGAAACTGATGCATTGTTCACACGTGTCGTCTTGGGCCTCCACTTCCCGTTGCAAGACCTTCTTCACCGGCCTTATCGCAACAGCGACATGGTGAGTCGAGAGCGACGAGGCATGTGGGTGTTTTTCTTGTCCGCAGCTTTCTGCTGGTGGTTGCAAGAATACTCAGTGGCTTTTAGTGTTTTGCTTTTTGTATGGTGGACGGCCGGCAACACCTTCGACTATTTTAGACAAAGAAAGGACTTGGTTTCCTTGGCTTCAAGTTGGAGCAGAGACACACACATTTTCTTTCAACATCTTTCAACAAATCTTGGGGGGGTCCATTTTTTAATGGGGCAGCCTTTTGAATCCTTTTGAACTATAGGTGTCATAGAGCTGTTGAACTTGATACTGATACTACCCTTGCAACATGTGGTATGTAGAAGATATTGTTTGCTACAATCAAGACCCGAAACGCATGAAACGCAGCCTTCGGTCAACGCAGCCACGTCAAAGAATGTCAGATGCGACATTGTTGAAGGGCTCCAATCAGACGTCGAGCTCTTCCAAGAGTTTGCAAAAGGTCTGAATGACGGTCTGACTCCTTCAGTTTTCCGACGGAAAGGTTCACGGAAGTTCCCTCCGTTTGGTCCCTCCTTCAGCCTGTTCTTGTTTAGTGGGGAAACCACGAAACCCAAAAGGTTTTCAGGTGACCCACTGACTGGATATGCTGTGAAACACAGCCAGGCCAAAGCAGTTGATGCTTGCTCCAAGACGGATGAGTTCCGACATTGCAACAAAGCCACCCTAAGGATCTGAACGGACCCGACCTCTTCGCAGGGCTCGAACCCTCTTTTTCACAGAGAAATCACTTCGCCCCGAACCAAACCCTTGCTTTTGAGGGTCCGGATTCTTAGGGCAATGCAACAACAAGTCTACTTGAAGTTGATGACTCTGATGTGTCAAATATTGTGTTACTGTAAGAACCCACTGGACGCTGAAAACAAAAACATAAGCCAAACATAGCCCACAGCTCCGTCCTGTTCAACTAGCGTACCAAGCTCAATCTAAAAGAAGGACTTCTGAGAAGCTAGACAAATTCATTCAAACTCAGCTGTTCGTCAACATGTTGACCGGCCGTGACGCGGCCTGTCTGGGACTGGCATATACAAACATTGGAGTGGTTCAAAAGGGGTCAATGTATGTGAATATGCCATACCAAGTGCAAGAGAAAATTGGACATGACCCTATCGATACCTATTCCCTATCTCAGACTATCCATGTACCTGGAGTCTCAGTTCGTACCTCTGAAAATGGGTACAAGATGGTACAAGTACCATCAAGTACCTTTGTTATTACAGGGTCATCGATGCGTCATCTCCCATACTTTGGAGACTCCAGCTCAAACCTATGGAGACCTACTGGGAGACATCCCAGGCGTTCCGACCCCTTACCAGTCACCCAGCCAGGCCATGGCATCTTTGATCGTCCCTAGTTTAATGCGCGCACACGCACACATGCATTGCATATATATATATATATATATGTCGTATCACAAGTCCCGACAGTTTATGTTGGACCAGGATTAATTAATGGTGGGAATGCAAAATGAGGAAGAATTGATGGGGAAGGCCAGTAGCAATCGCCTGTGGTGCACCGATCCGGATAGACTCTGTTTCTTGTAGTGTCATGCCTTGTACCACCGCTGTCATGTTTTGTTTGCATTTCTAGACCATTCATTCACTGACTCACTCACTCGCTCACTCACTCAATCAATCAAGCAATCAAATTCAATCAGTAAATCAAATTTCAATCAATATATCAATCAACTATCAACGAACAATGCACATATTGCGAGAAACATGCAAGTTGCCACAATACACCTTTACTACTAGAGTTACCGTACCACTGGGAAGCCAACCAAGCAGCGCTCTCGTTGACAGCTTATTTTGCTCCACTGTCGGGGATGTAACGCACACGCACACACACACACACACACATGGCGTTACTTCGTTGAGTGGTCCCCTCTACTGTCGGCACCCCCAAAAAGCCAACCCTGGCTGGAGTCAGCTGGAGATGGAGATACGTCGGACGTGTGTTCTCCGGATCTGGGCCATCCAAACACCGCCTCTTGCACAATCTTTGGGACCTGCAGCTTCGAAGCGTTTGGGCTACAGTTGCAGAGTTGGTCATGGCCCCGGGGTACATGGAATGCTCGACCGAAAAAACAAACAGAACCCATCCCATCAATGGGCCGAATAGGCCACGCATTTTCACAGGTCGCCGCACGTCTGTCCATTCCACGTCTGTCCGGCCCTCTGCAGATCGATCTATTCCTCGAAGCAGGTTCTGTGGCTGAAGAAGGTGAACGGAGATGGTTTCGGGAGTCGGCCTGTGAACGGAGCAGGTTACAAGTCAGGAACTGGCCTCATGAAATACTGGAGATGGTCATACAAAACCAATACTTAATTATGGAGGTTTAAAAAAACACAGGTTTTACGGGGTCAAACTGGACTTGTAGGGATCTGGCACCGTTTCCACTTCAGCCAAACGTGGTTCGACTTCACATCCCTTCACCGATGGGAATGCTGGAATGCTTCGATTTTCAGGGTTGACAAGATCTTAGGGGTCTTGAGTCCCGATTCCCAAACCTGTGCCATTGGTTTCCGTCGGGGATTCACAGGGCTGGACTGTTCCTGTTTGGTGTTCTTCCAGCCTGGACGATCTTCTCCTGCAGGATGGGCTTCCTGCGCAGCGACGGACCAACACCGTCGCTGCTCAGCATGGCGGGAGGGGAGATCCTCACAGTGGGTGAAGTCTTGGATTCGTGCGGGGCGAACAAGCCGTGCGATGGGCATAAGAGGCCAACACATTTGGGTTCCTTTTGTTGCACCTACTCGTGTGTCGTGTGAACATGTGTGAACAATACCAAGGTTTGAAAGGTTTCAGTTGGTATGTTGCTTTCGACTCTCTTGATTCGACATAACCTTTTGAGAACTACAACTACAACTGGCTCCTCTTCTCCCCACTGGCTCCGTGCGTTTCCAACGGTGTGGAGAGAGGATGCGGCTCATCTCCGGCGTCTCATCTCGCCAGCTGGGTGCGAACTCTTCTCTTGCCGATCCTTTCTCGGTGCTTCTCCCGTTGGGGCGCCAGTCACACTCTCGGTTCCGGTTCAAACGACCTGCATCTGGGACTGGCGCATGTTCATACCGAAGGGGTGAAGAGGTGTTGTTCGGGGTGAAGGGGGTCCATCGACTCCCTCGTCGTGGTTGTGGAGACATGAACCGTTCACCGAGACATGGAGCTAGCTGTTCTTGTGAAACGATGGGGTGTCCCCAATTCCAGAAGAGTGACCTGCAGGTGAATGTATCGTAATGTAGACTCTTGACTAGTAAACAATATGAAGAGGCTTTTCCATCTAAATGGGAGGAGTTCTTAATGAATCAAGCGTCTACATTACTTCCTGGGTAGGATAGACAACAATATGCCAGTCCCATTAGTCGTGTCTTGAGCCTGGAGTCTCAGGTTGTGTTCCGCAAGGTTCTTTTATCCTCAGAACTGATTTGTAACGGCCCACGGTCCCACAAAGGTCTCCAAATTCCTCAACCCCAAAATAGAGGGCATTAAAGGTGAGTTCCACTAAAATGCATAAACCCTTGTACTAAGTACTATATCTTTCTGTCTTCATCACCCACACTGCATGAAGTCAACTGCAAGCGCCAGACCGCGCAGTGCCCGACGCCTGCGCTTCACCAGCTTCTGGAGGGTCTTGGGCCGCTCGGTCTCAACCACCTCAGGCTGTTCGGTCTCGAGTCGCAATGACCCAAACTCCATGGGACTGCCATACAGTTGTCTACATTGACCATGTCTGCTATTAGATTGTTAACCAGGTCTGCTATTGTTAGTCCTAACCAGGTCTGCTATTAGTGCTATTAGTCCACCATGTTCGGACTAGGACATGATTGTGCAATGCTGCTAATGGATCCTACATTGACCCCTTTTCAACCACCCCAAAGCAGGTATACCGTATACCTGACCCTATATAAAGGGGGTGCGACGTCGTATATACCAGACTCCAGGTGGCCATAGCGTTTGCTCATGGCCTTCATGGGCCTCCATCAGCGAACCCGCGAACCCTGTGAACCCGCGTCCGCCGGAACTTGGCCAAACCACTGCAGACTGCCCCAGGGACGGCAACAACAACAACAACTACTACTACTACTACTACTACAACTACATCCCCACACATCTCAGTTCCTTTTCTGGCAAAAACAACTCTTTCACGGGTCCGCTTCACGCCGCCGCCTGCACATGCTGCTTCTTCACGGTGTCCACCCAGTTCCTCTGGATCATCGGAACCTGGCGGTGAAAAGCACACCCCCGGGGTAGAGGTATTTTAAATCGAATAACCACCCGAATGGGGTGGTGGAATATACATATCTACCGCAGCTCCAAAAAAAAGCACTCTGAGGAAGTTCCAGGTATATATATATATATATAATATATATATATGTTATAAGTTATGTTAAATGATCAATTATCACTGCATGGCAGGGGACAGGACCTTCACCGATCGAAGCGGAAAGCGGAAAGCACGGGAACCCCAAAGCGATCTCCGAGGGATTCGCAGGGTGGGAATCTAAGACTGTTTTAAACATATGGTCCTAGGGATCCCCTGGACCTTCTTTCGGGGTGTCGGAGGCCCCTTAGTGGTGGGCTGGGGCTTCCAGCCAGGTGACCCCTTTGAAGTTGCTGGTAGGTCCTTGCCCTAGGGATCCAGTCATACCGAATCTCAGGTTCGGTACGACTGGACCCTCCTGGCACCTACATAGCAATGTCTCCAATCACCTTCTAAGGAGGTACTTGGAGCCCTAGGTGACCTGAAAAGGAACTTCCTCTACTTGAGCCTGGAAGAAATAGAGCCTTTGGACGTGTAGGCATGGAGGACTCCCTGTTGGAAAAACATCCGAAAACACAAAGCAAAACAACATATATGTTCATAAGCACAAACTTGATGATGAGTCAGTACATGTCAGTACATCAGCAATTTCATGTCATTTCAAACACTCTTTATAAAGGTCCCCTACTTTCAACCCAACTACCAGTCCTACATGATCAAAAGTCTTCATCATTCGCCCTTCAAAAAACACGTTCACCCTCCTGGATGATCTTCTCTTCGAGTTGCACCTGGCGCAAAGGAGACCGATCGGTTCGGCGCGAGGAGACCGATCGGTTCGTGCAGCTGGCGGAAAGGACCAAGAAATGGTTGAAAGGGACAGTCCATTTGGGAACTATTTACGGTTACTGTTCAACTCTCTTGGGAGTGGCCCACGTGACTGTGAGCGTTTCGTGACGAAAAAAGACATGGCCAGTGGCGGCCAGGGCCGCTTGCGAAGGTTAGGATATAGAAGATGCCGCTTCATATGGCTGTGGGTCATGACCAGCCAAACAGAATGGACGACCGACAGGTCACCCTGGTGACATCCGGGTTGATCCACCATATACACCAACACCTTCACGACTTCTCTCCCGCTGATTGAAGCTTCTTTGAAAGAATTCAATAGAAGCTTCTTCCAGCAGGACGGAATCCTTCCTGATTCAGACGTGGAGGTTCAAGCACCTTGCGGTCCAAGGAGGTTCAAGGATGTCCAAGGAGCCCTTTCTTGCCTCTGACCTCCTGATTCCTGTTAGTCAGTCCACACATGACCACACGCATGTCTGCATGTTATATTCTTAAAATGTGTTCATCACAAAGCCACATGAATCCAGTCTGCTCATGTCTGCTCCATTCCACCTGCACTTGTCCCACCGCCGCAAATCCGAGCTCGTCAGCGGATGAACGGCTGCTGGCCTTGGGCACTTCCACCAGTTTCTCCACGATTTGGGGCCGATGCACCTCGGCGACGGGCCAGATTGCAGACTGACAGATGAAGGGCCTATAGCGTCTCCCAAAACGCGCCTCCTCTTGCGGCAAATGCTGTGGCTGGGCCAAAGAAACAGGTGCTGCTCTTTGCTCTTGGGATTCTGTCGGAATCATCACTCCAAAGCTCCAGGACCTGCCGAATGACCTGCCCTTCTTTGCTCTTGGGATTCTGTCCGAATCATCACTCCAAAGCTCCAGGACCTGCCGAATGACCTGCCCTCCTGGCGAAAGAAGTACGGAGCTCATCTCTCGACCATCCGAAAAGGAGGTATACCTACACTCCATTGGGACTGCCATAGGACTGCCGCCCCATTGACCCCCCAAACCACCACCCCTGGCCGTTTCTCGGCAGTCCATGGCAGTCCGTCATGGCAGGTCGTGCCTGGGTATGGCTGTCTTCGTTGGGATCGATCTAGCATCTGGTCATCAGCTGTTGGGGTCGACTGATGCACTTGAGAGATCTGTCCATCCGGAAGAAGCCCTGGAACCCGACCTCAGGGCCTCCACAAAGTAGGCGAAAAACCCAGGCTTAACAGGGGTGGTTGATTTCAGGGGGTCTGTCTACGGTGGCATAAATAGATGTACAGTATACAAATCAGTGCCAAATAGGTCGTGTCTGGGATTGGCAACCCGGGCGAATTGAGTTAGAGTTTCTCTCATCATCGCTGGAGCACCTGGACTCGACAAGGTCTTCAAGAGTAGAAAAAGGGGACATGACCCGAACACCAAAAGAGGTACGAGATGGGAACACCATTTTCGCAGGTGGAAAATGAACCAATCCACAAGCATGACCAGCTTCAAGTTTGTATGTTTGGGATTATACCATATTATCTTCTATCTATTCCGGGATGACTATAAACTATATCTCGAGCGACATGTGAACATGAAAATGAACAGTGAAACAAATTTGGACAATAAAATTACGCTGAACACTGAGGAATGTAACAACAGTTGGCCATTAAAACACTAAGGAACTTTGTGCCCATGCAGCTGAGCAAACTCACTGGCACGATCTGCTCGACCATGCGAAAATTCACGTCTTCCTGGCGAAATGCAGATTTCGACGGCCTCATCGGCGAGACGTCATGGCAAAGAGTCGGGTCGTGCCGTTTTGAAGGTGGGACTGGGGGTGGGTGCCGTCCAGTCATACCTTCTGAGCTACGACTGGATATGGATCAACTGAGTGGACCATTTGACGTCTCTGGCGACCAAGGAATATCTTGAGGGGTCTGTCAGGGGAAAAAAACATGACTCAGGTCTTCCACTCTGAACCCACCGCGGCTCGCTGACCCAAGCCGATGCCCATGGGGGACTTGTCTATGTGAGTTTCACGATTGGTCTTCAAATCGGCAGAGTTGTTAGACACGATTCCTGATGCTGCCCATCATATTTTACACCAACAACAGTTTACTGTAACTGTTCAAATCTGAAAGCATTTCCGGATTGCAAACAAACAAATCCTGAACCCAATCTGAGAGAACCGGATCATGTCAGGAATGTATGTTACTGCAAGATTTGATTTGGTTATGTGCAAATAACATCAAATAACCGCCAACAAACACAAGTAACAAGGTATGTATATCATTTCATGTTGGAGTGTGATATGTACAACGTTGCAACTGCACTTCAGGACAAAAACATGTTGTAACAGTTTCACTCGAAAATGTCACTGAGTCACTGATATCATTTTGTCCCAATGCAATTGCCAATCTGATTTGAGATAACGGCACTCTTCAGGAGGAAAACCATTTGGTAACAATTTCAATGCATAAGTTTGGTTCTCTCGACGACTGTTAAAACTGACATGAGCCCCACTGCACAAAGGCACAAAAACTTCACATTGATTGTCCAAGTTGGTATATAACAGGGCACACCCCATAGAGTTGCTATGAGAAGGAAAAACAATTCAGAACCCACTGGTTGGGCATTTCAATGGTCTACTTTCATACACGAAAGTGTTTGCGAAACCCATGCACGGCAGCACAAGGTTTGACCCATTAATGTGGTTAAGTGGCTGAAATATCACAACATGTGCTGGTTTGGGAAAAAAAACCGACATTGTTGAACACACGCTCAGTTTTGGCGTCCGTACGCCTGTGGCCTACTAGTTGTCCACCTGCACTGTTGCTTGAAATTGTTCCATCTGGCCGCCCTTATCATCCCCCAAAAAACAGGGCCGTCGTCATCCTCACGTTGATGTGCACAATTTCAGGGTTTTGACTCCTTCAATTTTCCCTTTACCTTTCTTATGATGTTAGCCTGCGCCTAGTTGTCCACATGTACTTTTGTATGGAACTGTTCCAACTGGCCGACCTTATCATCCTCAAAAAACATGGCCGTGGTCATCCGCACGTTGATGTGCACACTTTTTGAGTTTTGACTCCTTCAACTTCCCCTTTGCCTTTCTTATGATATTAGCCGCGTGCCTACAAACTATGTAGAATGTAAGTATTCCAGCTATCTTTATTTGTGCCAAGTACCCGGGCACCTCCAACAACGGATGTCCAGCCCCTGAAGCAGTAGATAGACCAAGCCTAAGAAATGCCCCAAAGGGCCCTATGCAAATGTGCAAGCACACCACTGGCATCCCGTGCTCACAAACACAAGCGCCGCAAGGATGCCTCGAGCCTCCAGCTGGTTCAAGTCTTGGCTTGATGCATACAGCCACACAGGCACCAAGCACTGATACGAGTCCAGAGTCGAGACCTGGGTACGGCATGGGTGCACGCTTGCATGCTTTCAAGGGACAACGAGATAGCCAAGCTGGCGCCAACCTGCTTGTCAAACACCAAAAATGTGACCAGCTCCTGCCATTCACCGGCAGAATCAAACTACAAAGGAACATCGTTTCATATTTGCGGATAGCGGCAAAAGGCACTGCCAGCAGTGCGCATCGGTGAAGATATAATTTATAGACATCGGTTCAGCACGTTTCAGGATGCCTCTTCAAGGCAACAGTGCAACAGCTCTTGCGGTCTCATTTGTGGAGCTCAAACAAAGAGCGGTCAATGGACTTGCACTATATATATATATATTATAGTCACTCAAAGCTTACATGAACTTATATACTGATCCCAGCCGAGACGCTTGGCCCACCACCGCAGCCTCTTTGCGCGTGCGTTCGCACCGCGTGCCGACGTCTCCCGGACCTGCTCTACCACGCAGGGCACTGGCACCTCCTGTCGCAGCTGGACTCTGTCACTTCAGCTCTGAAGCTTCAAACACCGTAAGGCAAAGACTTCTACACTCCCTTTTGAAGCGGAAGATCTGAGCAAGTCACTAAGTCCATGTTCCCTAGACTCGAGCGGAATATCTGCACAGCGCAAATCAGTTGTAAATTGTTCAGTATGGTTCAGTAGAAAGAATTTGAAAGAGGCGTTGAAGCCATGTCTGGTAGATTGCTTTCTTGTGACTTTGTCCTTTGGTGGGGATAGGTCATTCTTCACCTCGAACGTACCAGATCTTCTTCACCTTTGCGGTCTTCATCTTTTCACTTCAGCTGTGGTCGTCACCACGCCAAAACACACAAGAAAATTCATCGGTAGAAACTGGGAGAATTGCCGGATCAGGAGGTTGCGGATCAAACGCAAGATAAGCATAGAGACTGCCACAACAACACATGTGGTACAAAGTGATACCAAGTGTGATAGGAAATCGTTGGTGATATATTCTGTGCAAAGGTTCTTTTTGATCAAATAGTGTGACAAATATCGCACAAATGCATTCAACTGGAGGTTGGATGAGAGAGTGTGTGTGTGTGTCGACTGCTTCAATATCTGCCCCTGGGGTTATTCAATATCTGCCTGCTGTGTTTTTTCGGCCTCTCCAATTTTGTCGCAACGGGTCACAGTGGGCTGGTCTGAGTGGCTGCTGTCCCAACCGTGCAAGAAGCAAGAAGGGTGGGCATCCCTGAGGACCGATGAAAGTCGGCCTCCAAACAAAATCGCTATACCAGGGGTCACAAAATGGTGGTGTTTAGTCCCTAAGTGAGTGCATTGCCCCCCTAACCTCCTTGGATCGCACCCCATTGAAACTCCTGGTGGAAATTTTTTTGCCGAGGTTCTCAGAATGAAGATGGATCCAAGCATGGCTTGAAAGAAGCGTTCTCAAAAAACTCCATGTAGGTCATATGTAGTGGTTTGGTCAATGTATAGGCAAATGTTGCATAAATGGAACGTATGGGTGTCAGTGTGCTCAATGTGTCTGGGTCACATTCAACGCTCACCAAGCAGTGCTACTGAGTGTTTCACATGAAGCACAAAGGGCAGTGTAGACAACTTACTAGACTTGCATGCCTCTGACATGCAGCTAGTATCCTCAGCCGCAAAAATCGTTATTAGTACCCTAGCCCTCAAGAAACAGATGTTGACCTGGTGTTCCAAAAACATAGGCACATGGTCTCCAACAATGGTTCCTTGGTCTCCAACCGGCGGACCTCTCGTGGGCACCTCGCGGACCCTAGTTCCACTGGGAGTTTCCAAAGGACCATTAAGCAGTTGTTGGAGTCAATCCCACCAAATCCAAACCCAGACACTCCATGGGATCACTTGGGGTGGTGCCAGGAGCCCCATGGAGTGTCTGGGAAATCCGGAATCTGTTGTATTGAATTGATTTCCATCGATCATGGACCCGTCCCAAGTCCTTTTGTCAAGATGAGTAGGATTTTTAGGCGAAGAATCGAACAATGGCGAGGATTTGTTGGAAAAGCATGAGGGGTTGGGGAACCCCGAAAAACATGTGATAATATATAGGATGCAAAACTTCCGTGTTACGGACATTCGTCAGCTCTAGCTCTAAAGTCAGCTCTAGTCCCAGTCAGCTCTAGTTCCAGTCAGCTCTCTAGCTCCAGGTAGCTCTAGATCTAGTCAGCTTTAGCTCAGTTAGCTCTAGCTTTAGATAGCTCTAACTCCAGTTAGCTCTAGCTCCAATCAGCTCTAGCTCCAGTTAGCTCTAGCTCCAGTCAGCTGTAGCTCTAGTTGCTCTAGCTCTAGTTAGCTCTTGCAATAGTTAGCTCTAGCTCCAGTGGGCTCTAGAACTAGTTGGCTCTAGCTCTAGTTAGCACTAGCTCTAGTTACCTTGTGTTTTTCCATACAAAGTGTGGCTCCGGACCTGGAAAGTCAAGCTCTGCGGAACGACGGTTTCCGGACGGTCTCGCGTCATGCTCGGATCATGCTCGAATCGTCCCTCCATTGTAACTAGAGTTTTCACCTGTTTCTGGTGTAAGTTCTGCTGATGCAATTCCATTGCGTTTTGCAACTCCTGGATGGTTTCCGCACTGTAAATGTGACTGCAAGTGTTGCTGGTGGATGAGTTGTCGCTGGAATTTCATTGTGTTTTGCAACTTCAGGATCGTTCCCGCAATGTAATTGGCACTTTCATGTCTGGTGCATGTCTTCCATGTGCATCTTTTGAGGAAGTCTCGCAGAATTGCTTCGTTAAGCTGGCGCGCAGATTGCCGTTGCTATGACGATAGGTGTGCTGCAGGCCCCGGTGGTTTGTATTGCTGGCAGAGAACCACCCCCACCGCCTGTTGTTCCACCTCGTCCAGCCCCTGCTGGAGGTGCTGGGTGGACCGTTCCTTGGTCTTGCCGAGAGGCATCAGTCTGCGTGCGTCGCTGTGGACCGCGCAGACAGCCGGGCAATGCTCCTATGTGCGTCGTGATGGACCGCATTAACAGCTGCTACCGCACAGGACTCTTTGCACTGTGTGGAAAGAGTATGTAGCAGAAAAAAAAGGATGTGGAAAATGGTTCATGGGTTGCGGTGTGGAGGTCGCAGCGTGTTCAGGTCTTCGGAAGGGTCATGGGGAGTCGGAACGATCGTCCGTGGTCCTCCGTGGTCCTCCGTCGTCCTTCTACTGAAACACCACCATTATCATCATCATCATCATCACCGTCCTCGCCATCATCAACATCATCATTACCATCCTCATCACAATCAGCATCATTTGAGCCGTCATCACCATTGTCATCATCATCATCATCATCATCAACACCATGGGCACCAGCATTGTCATCATCATGATCATCATCGTCATCGTCATCGCAATCACCAGCATGACCTTGCTCACCATCATGAACATCATGACCATCATAGGTGTAGTCATCACAATCACTAGCATCATCATCATCACCATCGTCCCCGCCGTCATCACCATGCCCAGAAGTGCATCTTTCTGAGCGACCAGGCTGCATGTGACAGGGGTGCGGGAGCGATGATTGGATGACTGTTTGGTCGCAGACCGCAGGGCGTGTGAGAAGGGACACTCCGGATGCAGAGCTATAGGTCAAATTGTTCTTATAGGAAACTTCCGCCGGCTTGCCCGGGAACTGCATTATATATTTATATATTATTGTAAACTATTGTAATACTGTATTATACAAAAAAATATTAGATCCAAAGAACATCAAGGCTTATAGATGTTAATACACATTGTTAATTGTTTATAGATGTTTATAGGAAGGGGTTGGGGGAACTCCCGTGGTCACTCCAAATGGCTCCCTACTTCATGGGGAAAAACTGGAAATCCTAGCCTTCAGTTCAACCCTTTGAAAACAATCGGTTTCAACCTGGCCTTTGTAGTGTCAAATTCTTAGTCAAACAGCTCGGTTCTTGGGTAAACAAAACATGTTTTCAAACGGTTAAATGATAAATGCATTCCCAAACACCCCATGGACTAGTATTATATACCACCCCATTGATCCCTACATTGACACCACCCCAATGTATGAATTAATATGCCGGACCCAGATGGCGGCGCCTCGTGTCTGGGATTGGGTGGATTCCAACCCCCTCTCTCCGCCGCCTCTCCGCGTTAGCTCGTCTCCACCGAGTGGTGGTCCCCACCTCTTCCACCAGCTGCGGCGCGGGGATTTCGATGATCTGTTGCACCGGGCGGTGGACCAGGCGCTCCTGGTCAGCGCATGTTCAGCGCATGGTCAGCTGTGTGGGACCGAGCGATTCGGTCTAACGCTTTCATGCCCCTTTTGTGCCCTCGGGTCGTTGTCAGGTCGCTTGGACGTCCAGCTCGCTCAAGTTCCGTGTGCCAGGTGCCCCAAAATGCCACCGCCCGGGTGGACAAACATGACCAAACGCCGAACGGTGCCAGATGTCAAAAGAAATCACTACGTGAAACCTATCTATAGAAGTTCTTTCATTTACACAATGAACCGTATGGCCAGGAAACACACCATGGATGGAGGTATGTTCAATGTTCAATCATGCTGAATAAGAGCCATGTGTGTTATAGTTCACAACATGTTGCATCTTGTCAATCCCTGGCTGCATCCAGTCCCTGGATGGGGTAGGAAACATGGCACCCCATGTTTTCTTTGAACAAACCTATCGAGAGGACCCTCGATCAAAGTCACTCCTTTAAAACACACGTTGAAAAACAAACAGCCTGCATCAGGAAAACATCTCTCTCTTCCAAACTCTTCCACATCACGCACTGGAAGGAATCAAATGCACTAAGTTTCAAGTGTGTATATGACTGTACGACTGACTGTATGTCATGTATTATATTATATACACACGCATATAAATTCAATATCATATATAATCAACACTTTCGATATGGGCCTCTCCGAGTGTGCACAACTGAGATCGCAAACAAGGGGGCTAGAGCTTGATTAACATGTCCGGATCTATACAGAAAATCAACCCATATGGGTCACACAGTTCGATGAAAATCCCACAGAAATCACCCACCAGCCGAGCCGCCACTAAACCGCCCCACCACGACAGCCTTCTGAATGAGGACCGGAGTGACCAACAACTCCTCTTGCACTTGGCGCACAGGGACATCTACCACCTCCACGGTGGCACGGTTCGTGTGCGGGCCCACCGCTCATTCCGAGCAGACATATGCAACGACTCATACGCACATGCAGCTGAAGCCGAAGGTGCAAAACATGCATAGGTTGGAGAGAAACTCTGCCTGCCAACATGAATGAATGTGAGATGCTTTAGAGTGTCCATGAGACGAGTGGGTACCCTTCCGGTCTTGAGGTTGGACAAATGGATCATGGTCTTGAGGCATGGCAAGGACCACCAGCAGAAAACACCGTGCCCCCGTGATCTCAAATCACGAGAAACTGGGTAATCTCAAAGACCTTGGATGAACAATCTGAAGAAACCTTGGAGAAACTACACTGATCCACCTTCAACTACCAGCTTCTTCAGTTGGTGACCTTATGGAAGTCCTCCCATGCCCCTTCTACAGGTCGACCACCTCGGTGACCCGGTCACTTTAGAAGAATCAGGCAAATCATGTCCATGATGTAAGGAGGCTTAGCAGTTGCACAGCTTAGCAGTTCAAGACTGAGAGGACAACTACGTTGCACACAGCTGCTTCAAGTGCCAAATGCTGCTTCAAGTGACTAGTTTGGTCAAGGGATTGGAACCTTCATTGACGGAACCGGGAAAATACCAAAAACAAAACATCTATTGCCCCATGCCAGGGATTGACCCAGTTCGGGAAATTAAACATCCCCTTTTTCCCGCAAAAGCAGGATTTTTCCCTAGTCTTTGCGGGGAACTAGGAGCAAGGACGCTACTAGTAGCGTAGCTCCTGGCCATACTACTAGGAGCAATGTTCGCTACTAGGAGCAAAGGGCATCGCTACGAACGGAGCAAGGACGCTACGCGACAAAAACCGCCAGCCATTGACGACCGTGGCAGGGCCATGCGCGGCCGCGCGCCTGCTCCACTTCCACCTGCTTCTTTCGAGTCTTCTGGACAATCTGAGCAGGTTGAGACTGCGAAGGAGGTGAAGGAGGTGAATATATTATAATATATATGTTTGTTGGAGCTGCAAAAACTTATCCTATTACCAGGTTTCAGTATGATTGTTAGTGAAGGCCTTTCTCTAAAAAAGTAATTGTTTACTGACAGTTGTGGGCAAAAGGACAAACCCAACCCATACCCTTCTCAAGTCAAAGCCACTGGAACTTCATCAAGGGCCAACACGTTGCCCTTGAAACAGTCCAGAAAAACTCCAATCCCGAAGGATCCGAGTTCGGACCTTCTCCCTCTTCGTAGGTCGGGTCGAACCTGCTCGAACAGGGGTTTGGGCCCCGAACCCTTGTTTTTGAGGGTCCTAATATGTCCTAATCCTTACGATCTTTTTTCGAGTCCGTAGGTGGTCAAGGTACCATCCTACCATCTCCAATCGCACCTTCTCAGAAGGTACGTGGTTACGTGGACCAGTGTCTCCAATCACCTTCTCCAAGCTTGTGTGGATCCCTAGGCATCCTGCCAGTCACTTCGAAATACACCAGACGAGACGAGTCCAACCAACTGGTCGACAAAAACATATTCCTGGCAAGAGACCCCAAAGTCTAAGGTCTAGAGGTGCAGAAACAGAAGGTCTAGAGGTCTAGACGCATTGGGATTCAAAGAGACATAAAAGTGGTGATAATGATGGTATTGAGGGTGATCACCGTGGTGACGGGGGTGGCGGCGGTGGGGATGGTGGTGGGGATAGGTGGTGGTGGTGATGAAGGTGATGGTGGTGGTGATGGTGGAGTGGTGGCGCTGGTGGTGATGCTGGTGGTGATGATGTTGGAGGTGGCGGTGGTGACGGTGGTGACGGTGGTCATGGTGGTGGCGGTGATGGGGTTGTTGATGGCAGTGGTGGTGGTGATGGTCTCAGAGTCAAGCACACACTTAGACAGGTAAGCACCTTGTGGGATAGCCAGGGTACAGTGGAGTCGTAGGTTTCTGTCTAAGCCGCCTTCCATCAGTCACAGCATCAACACGTCGCACACCCATCTTCTGTTCCCCGCCGCCGATCCTGCGGTGGGAGAGCTCGCAGAAGCGTGTTCCGTGCTTCTCTGCCATCTTTTTGTCGTCTCCCTGCGCGGTGCTCGCGGCTGTGGGTGGTGGTCCCTCTGGCAAACTCAGAGGGGCGCTGCCCGCCCTCCGTTGGCGGTTTGGCCGCTGCGGGTTTCCCAGCGGGGGCCTCCGGCTGTGGTTGGACGAAATCCATGCCCTAACTCTGACGACGAAGTTCACGGACATCCCTAAACACGGTTCTGGGTCCTTCAAGAGGAAAGTCATCGAAGTCTACTTCTTCGTACTCTGGGAGTGCCTCGGCTAAGGTCCGGTACCTTTCTTCAGCAACATCGTGCTTCGATCCTCCTCCGATTCCGCGAACTCTGTCTCCACGGACTCACCTTCCACTTCCACAGCCTCTGTCACTGTGGCTTCCTTCAATTCCTTCGTGTCGGCTTCGCTTTGTGGTCGCCGCCACGGTGTCGTGAGCTGCTGCGGCCGCGCTCGTGGGACTTCTCCTTCTTCTCTCGTTTGTCCTTCTGCTCGCTCTTAGCTTAAGAGTTCAGAAGGACCACAACTGCACTCCGAAAGGGGGCGACAAACCAAGGATTTGAGCTGCTCGAGGGTTCAAGAGGACCCACCCTTCGTGACACGCCAAGGGTCTGAGCAAAGTTGTTCCAGAGTTCAACAGGACTCACCTTCCTCCCAAGTTTTGAAAAAACGTGGTGAGGGTGGTGGGGGTGATGCTGGTGTGGTGGTGGAGATGGAGATGGAGATGGAGATGGAGATGGAGGTGGTGGGTGGTGGGTGGTGGGTGGTGGGTGGTGGGTGGTGGGTGGTGGGTGGTGGGTGGTGGTTGGTGGTTGGTGGTTGGTGGTTGGTGGTTGGTGGAGGTTGTTGTGGTGATGGTTTTGGTGGTGATGATGGTGGTGGTGATGGAGGTTCACAAACCAGGTGCAGGCCTAGAGCTGTCTAGAGATGTAGCGTTGCGTGGAAGCCTGGAGACCACACACGCTCCTGATGAAAAGGATTGCAAGCAGCCGGAGCAGCAGCTTGCCGCTGCCCTTCAGAGTCAAAGCCTTGGGACTCAATGTGAAATGATTTGTATGAAGATGCTGCTCAAAGGGGGGGCATCCGGAGTGCACACATCGTCAACACCTTTACCGGCAGCAAAGAAAGATGACACACCTGCAGCTGCACCTGCAAACATGACCAGTCGAGATTCCGAGCAACCTCAGAGCAAATCATTTGATTGGCAGCGTTCAACATGCAGAAAGGACTGGAAGCAAAGCACTGGGTCCAGATCCAGCCCGTTTCCAAGGCTACTGTATGCATCATGAAGGAATGCACGGCTGTCTTGATGAAGTGCAGATTTCGTGGCAGGAGCAGGACACTGTAAACCTTGAAGTGCAGTTTTCGTACCAGCTGCAGCGCTTTGTGGACTATAGAGGTGCAAATTTCGGCGCAGGCGAAACAGTTTTTGTGGTCCTTCAGTGAAGCGTGAGGCACAGCACGAACCAACAGTTTGTTGTCCTTGAAGTGTGAGGCATGGCACTTTGTGAACCTTGAAGTTCAGGTTCAGATTTCTTGGTATAGGTGCACCAAATTGCGCTGACTCGAGGCTTGAGTCAGAGCAAATACTGGAGGCTTGAGTCAGAGCAAATGCTACCTGCTTGCACATCCTTCGCAGTGTGACAGAGAAGGTTGGGCAGCAGCAGAGGAAAACGGTAATGCTGAACCTCTGAAGCAGTGAGATCTCAGTTGAGAAAGTAGTTCAATATGAAGCGCCTTTTCATGTTTGCCTTTCGTCTGGAAGGATTCACACCATCCACAGGTAGGAATAGGCCCCACAGCTCGTTCCGTTAGATAGAGATCATCATGTGCTTTCTGGGTGGAGCGCAATGATAAATAGTATTAAAATCACCGAGGTCTACAAAGCGCTGCGCCTGCCAAGGCGACTTGTAGCAAGAGCATTTCCAAAGACAATATCAAGATGAGACTTCCTCCGATTGTTGAAAACGCTGGGACGTTGCAATTGACTATTGGGGCTGCTTGGGGGGTTCACAGTTTGCTTCAGGACATCTACTTCACTCACTTGGTGAGGAGGTGGCATCTCCAAAGTGACGCACCGGCCACAAAATCTGCACATCGACATAAAGCCGCTCTGACCTCCTGCAGCACCTGTCACAAAAAGTCGCCTTTGGACCGCCAAATAACATGCGGTTTCCTTTCCGCCTCACACGAAAAGTGATCACCAAGCACGAGAATGTGCATGGCACTACCACGAGAGCGCAGTCGAAATGCACTTCAAAGATCTCGAGGTTAATGAATGTCTAAGCAGCGAATTAGCTGTACATAGCTGCACACAAATGGCACCTCGATCAAACACCCGTCCTTACCCCTTAAAGTAAGAACCCCTGTCACCACACTGTTTGAGGAATTCAACCCAAAACGTTCGGGCTCCGGGATTTTGGTTCCCGGATTGGTGTTTCCGGTTCCCGCGGTGTTTTTTCTTCCCGCGTTGGTGTTTTCGGTTCCCGCGGTGTTTTTGGTTCCCAAGTGGGTTTTTGGTTCCCGCGCGGCGGTGTTTTCGGTGGCCGGCTCGGTTTTTTTAGTGCCCGCGGGTGTTTTCAGTTCCTGTGATGGTGTTTTCGGTTCCCGCCTTGCGTTGAAGAGGGAAAAAATGCGCGGATGTTTTCGGTTCCCGCGTCCGGTGTTTTCGGTTCCCGTGTCGGGTGTGCTGTGATCCCGTGTGAAATGGTGGGAGTCTTGTGTTGTCGCGGGACAACGCGAAAGAATTCTTGTAAAGACACGAACAAACACGAACCACCAAAAGCCACAACCGCTACCACCACCACCACCACCACCACCACGAACAACAGCAACAACGACCACCACAACAACAACAACCACAACAACGACGACGACGACGACGACGACCAACAACGACGACCAACAACGATCAACAAACAACATGCGAAAACCGACGACAACAACAACAACACCACCACCAACAACAACGACAACAACAACAACAGAAACAACCGCGACAGCGACAGGAACTTGGCGGCAACGTTGCGTTAGTGTGGCTGAATGAAACTGGTGTCCAAGCAAATGGAAAAGAAGCAGCGCTTCAGCATGGTTGCCAAAGCAGGAAGTGGGCAAATCTTTTTGAACCCCAGCGTCACAACAGCTAAGTCCTGCCACACACGGACATGACGAGCCTCTTCGCGCACCGGCTCATCCTGACAAGGCAGAATGAGCAACGCAGGACAGGCGACACAGAAGGACAGGCGGCAAAGAAGAACCACCGCAGCAGCAGCACCACCAGCAGCAGCAACAGCAGCAGCCGCATCCAGCAACAGCAACAGCAACAGAAGCAACAGCAACAACAACAACAACAGAAACAACCGCGACAGCGACAGGAACAGCGGCCGCAAGAACAGCGGGAACAGCAACAGCCAGCACAGCAGTAAGCACGGACAAGAGCGAAACTACGTGCTGCAGAACCAAACAGTACTGCTGCAGCTGGGGGCCAAACGACAGCGAAGCAGAGGAATCCAACCTAGGCTCAGATTTAGCAGCGCAAAGCTAAGTAAGCAGAAGCAGCTGCAATTAAGCTACAGGCTGGTGTTTTCACTGTAAGGGCCCCAAGGGCACAGTGCTGGCGCAAATTAATGTCTTTGGCGGTCCAGCACCAGTTGGCCTGGTACAAGGTTACATGCCAAATTGTAACGGCATGGTAGGAGCGATACACTACTGTACATGATAGATAAGTTTGTACCACCTGCCTCGTCTTCTTCGCTGAGGTTCTCCCATCGCGTCATGGCCAAAAATGAAGCTCTGTATGCTTTCGTCTATGTGTTCGTACAGTGCGGTGTTCTTTGTCTGTTTTATTGTGTGACACGAGTACGTGCTTTCAAATCCAGCGGTGTAACGGCATGGTAGGAGCGATACACTACATGATAGATAACTTTGTGCCACCTGCCTCGTCTTCTTCGCTGAGGGTCTCCCAGCGCGTCATGGCCAAAAATGAAGCTCTGTATGCTTTCGTCTATGTGTTTGTACAGTGCGCGGTTATGATGGTGTCACCGGGTACCTTGTGTTTTTGCGGCAGTGGGTTTACGCAAACTGACGTGTTTTTACAGCGAATGGCTTTGATGGTTTTGCGAAAGTTTTGCGGTGTTCTTTGTCTGTTTAATTGTGTGACACGAGTACGTGCTTTCAAATCCAGCGGTGGGCAATGGTAGCCAGAAATTCAAACGAAAGCTGACAAAAAAAACACGTGAAAGGGCACACCAACACAGGAGCCGGGCAGGGAACACATTGTCCAGGACTGAAAACGCCCAAACCTGGGAACCAAAAACACCAACACAGGAGCTGGGCAAGGAAAGCACCAATCCAGGAACTGAAAACACCAAGATCTGGGAACCAGAAACACCACGGGAACCGAAAAAAACAATCTGGGAAAAGGAAACACCACGGGAAGGGAAAACACCAATCTGGGACTGAAAACACCCAACCCCCAAAAAACTCTGAGACTCCGGCAAGCCGGTCACCTCCAGTGACCCCGTCCGAGCCTTAGGGACTTTGACCACTTCTTCTTCGCCCAAAGGCACCGGCACCTGGCGCCGGCGTGGGGAATCGCTGCATATCGCTGCGGCCGTTGGTAGGGGTGCTTTTTTGGGGGGGTTAGGCGGCGGCGGGTTCCAAAGAGCTTCGCACCTCAAAGCGCAGCACATCTATAAACTGCATCAAACACAACACATATCATTCATACAATCTTGCATTCTCCTTCCAGCATGGTTATTAGATGGAAAAAGCATGGCCAAACGGGGTCCATCAACCGCCATTTGAGTTGCTTCTGGTTCGAAGTACAGCATTGGTACTCTGAGGACAGCGTAATCGAACGATCGATCCTCCCATCATCATTGACGCCAACAGCGGCAATAGAATCCAAGGCTAGGGATGATCTCCCACCGAGTCCAATCACTGGGGTGAACCAAGCCCTCGCTCATGATCCCAATAGCTGAAGTGCTATGACAGTTGTGTTGAAGACCGAGGAGCCCTCACTCTAGGGATCCAAGTACCTTCTAAGAAGGTGTTTGGGGTGGGTTTAGAGGGTCCAAATACCTTCTGAGGAGGCATGACTGGAGCTCTGGGTAGTCAAATTGACCCTTCTCAACCACCCTGACTCGCGCCATGCGGCGGCACTCCGCCTCCACTGGGATGTGCACTGGCTGATGAATGATCCTGGAACTGACTGAGAAAAAGCCGACAAGGGGGCAGCTTTGGATGAAAGACCCTCAAAACTCGGATGATTTGGGCTGGGAATGGGACTGACCAAGGCTGCAATGGAATCAAAAAAACAAACCATCTCCTATGACCCACCTGCACAGTGGAAGTGGCTAAAGTGAACTGATATTATAACTAAAACATGAAAGCGAACTGGTGCATGGAGAAGGCATGCCCTGTTTTGTTTTGCAACATCTGACACCTGTTACTTCCAAGTGTTCTGGGACCTAGGTCGCAGCTGGCGAAGTCTGATTTGTTGATACGACATGTATCCTCCTCACCCACACTGTCCATCGGATGCAACCAGGGAGGCCACTAGGAGGCAACCACATGTTGTCTACAGCAACCCACTGTGGCAGCCAACAGCGTGGGTGAACACCTTGGAAATGACCTCTTCGGGTCGAGTCGAAGCCTCTGGTTCACTGGGGCAACTGAAGCCCCCCCTGTGATTTCCTGTGGTTAACTTGCAGGTCCGCATCCGGCACCCCAAATGCGTCTAAGACCTTGTGAGGCCGTTTCCAAGGTGAACGAAGCTGGAGCTGGCAGGAGTAGTGAGACAAGAACCCCGGAACTCGTCAAGGCAGTCGTCCAATGCCTCCCCTATGGAATGGCCACTTGAATGCCCTTGAGAACACATCCAAAGCAAAGGCATTGACCTTGGTTCCCCAAATGTCATCAGAGTTTTAATCACTTATTGCAAAAACACGCATGATATCATCTACCATAATTAGTAATATTGATAGCAGAACACAGCGACTTCAAACACTTATTGGATGTCATGTCTATGATCGTGAACTACTACCCCCAAGGCCCCAAGGGGCATGACCCCCCTCGAATGGAGAGGACAAACTCATGGGTTTTGAGGTCCCCATACATCTTCCAGCGCCGGCCTTCCACCGAATTGACCATACTTCGTTGGGCGCTGCGAAGCGTACCAGAGGTGCTCCCGAATCGAAACCCTCCAAGGTGGTGAGAAACCCCTCCACCCCCGGTCCACCCCGCTCCACAAGGATTCAGGATTCGGGTCCAATCTCTCAAAAAAATCTCGAAACTCAAAACCAAGCGATTGGTGAGAAACCCCAGACCTGTTGCCTTTGAGCCAGGAGCACCCTGGGAGCCTCTCCTCTCTTGGACCACCTCCTTTCGCACGTGCACCACCTACACTTCAGCGACTTCGGTGAGGTGGACCGGTTTGCTCCGTGCTTGGCCATGAAAGTGGTTGTAGAACACCATATGTATCCCTTTGTCATATCCCTATTGGGCTCCAGTTGTACCTCCTCAGAAGGTATGACGGGTGCTATGGAGGGTCCGACCCCTGCCATCAAAGGCCCAGGGATTCTTAGTACCGACCCTCAAAAACCAGGGTTGTGAGGGTACATACCCCTGGTTTTGGAGGGGTCGAACCTTGCGAAGAGGTCGGGTCCGAGGATCCTCCATGATTTTTGTTGGAAGTCTGCCGATGTGAAGGTCCTAGAAATATAGTGCAAGATAGTGTAGGTGTATAACAAGCCGGCACCTTCCAAACAGGGGGATACCACCCCTTTTGATGCCCTCATGTCAGCCATTCACATCACACAAAAGCCATCAATCAATTCGGAACTGCCACGCGAAAAAAGCATCTGGGGCAAACTATGCCAAATACTTGCCTGATGATCGGCCTGATGTACCCAACAGTTTGATTGGCTGATGAATTGTTCCGACTGCCCCACATGTGGTGTGGTGCGGAACGAGTGGGTTGTTGGACACCGAGTTGATACACCCGGGAAGATTTAACATGGAACCGGGCGACCGGCATGGACCGGAAGCAGCGGTGTGGACGATGTTCCTCTACAAGCCGATGTGGTGAACTCAGGTTCCATGTGGGTCTTGGTGGCCCAGGGTGCGTCGTTGTGAAGGACGCCCGCTCCAACGAAGCTGAAAATTCCACCGACACATCAAATCGGAGTTCCAACATCTGATGTGAGGTTGGACGGTTGGACGGTTGCTGGGGTTGCAAAGGCATCTTTGTTCTGTAACATGTAAGATTCAAACATCAGTAAAGCCTTGCCCAGTCGATCCAGTCACCACTGCAATTTTTTCTCGGTGGTTCCTGATGGTTCCTAAAATACGAAGCTATGGGGACTTAGGAACATTGGTATCTTATCCAGCCCTAACGAAGAATACCATATTAGCTACCAGGGGCCCTCAAAACCATGAAAAACAAAGGTGTTCATAAAAAGCATGGATTTTTCCTAGGGAAAACCAGGTTTTTGGATGGGCCATGTGGGGCCCCTTTTTGCTGACACTTGCCTCTGCGGACCACACTGCCATGTGCCACGGTGCTCGGTGAGAAGAAGCCGTGAAGAGAAGAAGACTGGCCTCCTATGCCTTTGTGAGTATTGAGCACACATGTCACATGTAAGCATGTTTTTCTGCATGTTTCGTGTCGAAGACCAATGGTTCCTCACAAACTTTTGACATTTGATGAACTCAAAGCGAGGTGAAAAACTCTTCAAAACTACGCGTCGTCGTCGTTTGCGTTTCTTCTCAAGGCGTCGTGGGCGTCGTACCGTTTGATCTCTCTTCCCTTCCTCCATTCCCAGCCACGGCACCGGCCTCTTCTTTGATCTGTGGCACCGGCACGTCGACAATCCTCGGTGCTCCCTCCAGTTCCTTGGGATCCTTTTTTCGCCCCCCGGTAGAATGATAGAACATGGGATACTCATTTTCCGAGGTACTTTGAAACTCCAGGCACTGAAGTAGGTCATCTTAGGTCAGCTAGGCTGTACTTAGCTGAAGCATTATTTGTTCTGAAGGCACTGCATTTTCAAGATCTTCCATTAGATTTCCAAATGGCTTTGCTTCCTAGTTGTGATTGTCCCATCTGCCGAATCCTGGGAATACCCTCTCTAGTGAACCTATACGTACAGGTGTCTTTCCCAAACACCCTATGTAAGTACGGTATGTCTAAATCTACATGCGACAAAATTGACCTGCATTGGGTTGTTTTTAAGGGTCGATGGAGGCATACATGCGTGTACTGTATGTGAGGAACGTGCCAAACCTCTTATGTGTTGTAGTGCGCACTCTTCCCAACGTTATCGTTATCGTTGTTTTTCTGTGAACCTTATCGTTTTTAAGGCTTTGGACACACCTAAAAACATGCACTAAAACCTTATCGTTTTTTTGGTGAACCTTATCGTTCCTGAAGGTTTCCTTCACTTTACTTACTTAGTCTTCACTGTAGTGATGCTGCCTTTACCGGATGTTTTGGCAGTTGCTCATGTATGTATGAAGTGTATATATATATGATTATCATGATTATATTATGCTTCTATTCCATGCCTGAGTTATGGTGTTTTAAACACTTCCACAGGCTATGGAGCCCCGTTTTGTCCTTTTCGTTCGTAAGGCACCGTCCAAATCACCCAAGCCTTTGGTGGCGATGTGGGTGTGGACTTGGGTGGCTTGGGGTGTCAATGATTGGAAGTGGGTGTCAAACACAAACCCAGGAGTCTCTCAGACAGGTGTGGTGTGTTTCCTTATATACGTTCTCCCCGAAAGACTTTCCTGGAAGAATGTAAAAGACGTTGGACATCTCCCTATCAACATGATATACCCCCATGTTCAATCGGAATCTGAGTGAAATTCACCTTTTTCTCTCCTTAAGGCTGTGTTTGCAATGAACATCTCGCAGCACAGGGTCCTAGGTCAGTGCTGCTACGGGCAGTCGATGTCACAAACAGCCTACCACCCTACCATCTGCTCCGAATCTCCCACACAGGTTCCTGTCCCTGAACCTCTTGACAAGGGATATTCTTGCCATTTCTTGACGTTTATATGATATCAATGTGTTGCTTCACAAACTCAAGCCGTACAAAACAAATATGAAAACATGTGTTTTGATGCCTCTCCCCTCAACCAATGGAAAGTGGAACAGTGCAGTGCAGGCCAAAACGAGAAAAAACACGAATTCTCCCCGGCCTACAGGAGTTTGAGCCAAACGATTCTCTGAGCATGTCGGGTAGTAAGTATGAACCAAACGTGAGACGTGAGTCCCCCGGTCGATCAGTCTGAGATCGCTCAAGATCAATTAATGATCTGCCTACTTGGGGGGTTCCAGTCAGTGACGGGTTGAAGGACATTCAAGTAAGCGTCTCAGGTTTCAAGTGGCAGCCGGACCCCTGATCAACCACCCCAAATGATCAGTATACATATGCCAATCGATAGGTTATGCAGCATTTCTACGTAGCTATGACTAATTATGACCCCTTTTCAATCAACGACCATGACCCACCCCTGGCCTGCTTGCTAAGGCTATGCCAGTGCCATTTGGTCTGGCCCGGGCCCCATCCCCTAGTCCGAGCAGCTCCTCGACGGGCCAAACGCGCCGCTCGGTGCGGAGCACCTTGGGCACCAAGACCACCTGCCGGCTTCGTCGGGACGAGAAACGGCATGGAGGGAGAGTCCTCAATCCCAAACACGACTAATGGGACTGCCATATATGCCGCCATTGACCCCCCTGGCACCACCCCAATGTAGGCATATATGGCATACAAGGAGTGTTTGGGAATGTGATCTGGAATCCAAAGCCTTCTCCCGAATCCGAAGCCTTCTCCTTATGGGATCAATCCAGAAGGATCTCATGGACCAAATCGGTGGGATTTGTTTGAGGAGCTGAAAAGGGATCTTCAGGGGAAAAGTTCCGTGGAACCCCTTCCAACACAGGGGCTCTAGGAACCAGAAGGGCCAACAAACACCCTAGATTCGCGTCATAGTTTGTCCAATGCCAATGTGGTTTCCGAAACGGCGGATACGCTCCTGTCTTCCTGCCGCTGATCTCTTGCGGGAGCATTCTCTTCTTCACAGTCAGCCAGCCCGAGCCAGCCAGCCAGCCAGTCACTCACTCATTCAGTCACTCATTCAGTCAGTCACTCACTCGGATTGTGTTGGATGGCGGCGGCCATCCCCAGATGGCCTCCTCATGGATCATGGGCACGACGATCTCCAAGATCTGCTCCACAGGCCGCGTGAGAACCCGCTCCTCAAGGGACGAGACTCCAACGCTCGGACGCGGTCACGTGTATAGAAAACGAACTGGTCGGAGGTCAGGGGAAACATTTTTAATGTGCAGGATTGATGGGGGCAAGTGGGCTGAATAGTTCTCAGCCTCAGCAGTTTCCACCCTGAAGTTCGAAAGAACTTTCCGAATCCATCAGGATCTTGGGCCCGCTTTCAGGAATCAGCTCGATGTGTGAAGGGAAACGCTCATGCAGCTATGAGGTTCGGGACCAACCCTCTGACAGCCATGAACTTGCCACATTGTTGAAGCGGTCCTGGTGGGAGGAGTGCCATACCCAAAGGCTCATGTAAACGTTTCTTGGTAGGTTTGGAAGGTGCAGCTGTACTTTGTGAGAAGTATGTGGGTTTAAAGGTCATTGTAGCAGTTCAATGTCAACGAATGTCAAACTTACGTCAAAATGCTGGTGCCCCTGTCGCATCCACAATTCTTTGGAACTTACGGTAGGTGTAAAAACCCGAGTACGTGCGTTTTGGCCGTGCCGGCTCGCACAAAAGTTCTGTTCTGAGATCTCCAAATGCAATTTCTCTGCACAAGGTTGCGCGAAAAGCTGGCCGCGGGACGGTGCTTGACGCAGGTGCGGTCTCGTTTTGGACTTGGTGATCACTTTTCGTGTCAGGTGCAAGGGGCACCTCGTGTTTTGGTGGTTTAGTGACATGCGCGGGAAATCGGAGCAGTTTGATGTCGATGTGCAGACTTTGTGGCAGGCGCGGTATATGGCGGCGGTCTTCGGCATGCTCTGATTTCGTGGCAGGTGCAGGGAATCGTGACTTTTGGACACGTGGCTCGTTTTCAGAAGTCGTGGCATTTGCAGTACTTTGTGGACCTTGAAGTGTTCATACCTCTCAGCTCTTCTACCTTTTCATGCTTGTCAGCTGCTTTGCTGTGTGGAACTTATTCTTGCAAAACTTTGACCCGATATAACAAGGGAGTACGGAGTACTAACGAGCATATATATATATATACCCTGCAAGTCCGAAGTGCAAGTTAAACGAATACTTTTCAAAAAACAAGTAGTTTACGGGTACCTTTTCTTTGTCGGAACCCAAGCCCTTTTATCCACGCGAGTTCAACATCACCGTACTAATGGCACATAGAACCTGCAAAAATGCACCCAATTGTTTAATCATGCAAACAAAACAACTGTCAAATAACGTCAAACATGGCAAAATTTAAAAACCCTGGTCACGATTTCCTTACATTTTGCAAACATTAGGGGACTAAGGACCTGTTACGCTCCAGTTACGCTCCTGTTACGGTTTTGGAAGATCATTTGCAGTTTTAGAAGTCTCCTGGAGGGGGTTGTAACGAATTGTTATGCTCCTGTTACGCTACATAGTTGGCCAACAATTCAGGCCTCTTTGCTCTTAATGTCGAATAATCAGCCTCAAAACCACCAAGAACACCTGGAATATCACTCAAAATCGCCTTTGATTCCCGTCCAAACCACCTGAAGAGATCATGAACACTATCTTTGGTTTTAACGGAACTTTAGTGGGACCAAGTAGAACAAGGCTCTAATAAAATAAATAGTGGTCAATGTCTCCAATTCTATATGAACAAGTTTAACGAGGTCATTGACTTAGAGGGATATATAAAGGAAATTTGAGGGAACTCAAAAGGAATAAAAGGATAACGTTCAAAAACATCAATAGGTAATCAATCAAAGCAAGCAGGAACGTTTAAACATTGATTTCACACAAAAGTGTAGAGAAAAGTGTAAACGTGATTGCGGGGGATGTCTCCGTTGAAGTTGTGTATTGTTTAAGATGCTCAATGTAATGGGCTGGACTAGAGTTTTGCAATAGTTTCATACAATTAAACAAAACAATGGCGAAAGAACTGAAAAAGGTAATCAAAAAAATCGAAACGATTTCAAAAGGAATCAACAAGAACCAAAAGGAGTTCAACAGGTATTCAATAAAAAAACAATTTTCAGAAGGAGCTTTAAACAAAAAATCACAAGCTAAAAGTAATGAGACAGGAAAAACATATTGCAGGGGATTGAACCTTTAAACATCATATCAGAGCAAAGTGCAAACAACATTGGAGAGGTTAATATCATTGCGTCATTGAACAGTGACACAAACGTAGACATTAATTAACCTAGAGGGTGTTAGTATTAAAGCAACAATGGCCAGAAAAACTTAAATAGAGATGTTTTCTTATCGAAGATTTTGAATGTATTGGGCCAACCCCTTTTAGGAATAGTTTTTTTGGCGACAACTTGATAACCTATAACAAGGGAATTAAAATAGATTTCTTATAGAATTTAAAAAGAAACCGACAGGAAAAGAAATCAATAGGTAATCGAAAGAAACAATGAGTTTTTAAACGGGAAACCCATAAACATGAAAAGCGTGGACGCAATTTCAAGGTTTTTTGCTATTGACAAACGTTGCCAAAACTATTGTAGGGGTTGAGTTGAGTTATATGATTCAAGGTTTCTAGTCAGCTTATTACTGGGATAACCCAAACTGATCAAGAATATAGAAGAAATCAGATTCAACAGGAAATAACATGGAAATCAGTTGGACAAAAAAGAGTGCGCACAGAAACCATTAGAATTCAAACGGGTTGGTGCTAAAAACCTGCCGTTCTTAAACGTGCTAGAGACCTCCTCTGATTAGCAATCAAATTTGTACCAAAAAACAAAAACAAAACAGAAAAGATTGTTGGTGAAGCTTGTTTTTGGACTTTACATTTTTTGTTTCAACGCATAGCTTTGGCATGGGCAGGCCCACAGAAAACAGCTGTAGATAAATCACGCGGAGGCAGTCCAATTAATTGTTTGTTTGGTCGTTATATTTTCAGATTGTTTCGAAGGAATTTCATCCTTAAATGGGAGACATTGCCATTGCCTTCACATTGAAAATAGACTTGCTCAGTTCACAAATCCGAAAGCTGCTAGCAAGCTCGGCTTGATCACCCAGCATCGGCCGCGCGCGTGGTGGGCTCCATTGGGCGTGGCCTTCGCGGGTCAAGTTCTACAAATCCGCCCCGCGGTGTGCACCTCACTTTGTATTTCCAACTTCCCTGCAATCAAAAGTCAGGAAAACCAGCGTGCGACGATCACCGCTTCTTGCCATGAAGTTTGCGGAACCGGATCCTTTTCCCAGCTTTGAACGTCTCTGCCGCCGGAGCTTTCTTTCGTCCTCGTGCTTGAGGGTGCAAGTTTGCTGCATGGGATGTCATTGATTAGCGCCCAGTTCCATCATGCCCGGCAGATCATTTCAAGAGGACTTCAAGTTCATAGCCCGGACAGTCCTTGCACCAATGCCACTCACCATGCTTGGAGACATCTGTGTCCTCCATGCTACCACCCGTAGCGAGTTCCCTATCGATCTTTGACGGTGACCAAGACCGGCGCGCCTACCTGGTATACAAAACAACATGAACAGCAAAAAACTCACCGCAAACCAAGTGTCTTTTGAGCGGACCTGGACGCCGCCTCGAATCCGCGAGCGCTGGCGCGTCGATTCGCCTGCCCGGTATTTTGCTAGGTCGGCGATCGAGACCTCCTTGCCGTCAATGCGCGCGCGGCCATTGCCCAAAAACTGCTCCTTCTTGCCACCCACCCACAGCACACCCCTCCAGTCTTCGCTTGGGATCTGAAGGGCTGCCTCCTCATGGCCAGGCGCCGCACGATTTTTGTATTGGACTTAAAGACTAAATTGACTAAATATGACTAAATATTAATGGTCCACAAGAGATGGCCCTGGTATACTGACTGGAATTCTAGGGCCTCAAAGAGGGAAAGGCTCTCCCACACACCACCACAGTTGTGGATTTTTAGAGGTCACAGTAGGCATGCCCGCCTGGAGAATGATCTGGCGGCTGCGTGCACTGCGCAACCCAAAACAGCTCTATCTCACGATGGACTTAGAGCTAGGTACCTGCTTGAGCAGGTACCGCCGCAACTCCGAGCGAAGCAGCTGTTGCTGCCACTCTTGCACCCCAACATCCAACAATGCACGCCCCATGACCATCGATTCAGTCTGTCCGATCAACCTATCACACCCATATTGCTTGCTTCTCGCCTTCGACTGCCGGCGGAAGTCCTGTCTTATTTGCTCGCGAGTACATTCGCCTGGCCACCATCCGTACATCTGAAGCCATTCCAACGCTTCTTTGCCACTCACGAGCTTCTAAAATAATCTACAAAGCTTCTTGTTACTCGAGCTGAAACGATTCCCAGTCAAACAATTCTCAAGAACGCTTCTCATCCATCAACATGTTTTGTCTTGCTAGTCCCATTCCCAGAACAACCATGCCCACAGGCTCTACTCTTTGCCGCCAAAGCTTTTTCTTAATCGTCAACTTCTACGCCGCTTTCGGCGACTTCTTCGTCCATCCTTGACAGGGCACCTCCGACATCCGGATGATTCGACTGGCTTCTAAACGCAAGCGCATTGAAGGTCGAGAGAGGCGAGGCTGGAAGGCTGGAAGGACGCGAGAGCGAAAGAAATGACGCGGCGACGATGCTATGGTATGTGAAAGAATGAATGAATGAATGAATGAAAGGAATGAATGGAAGGAATGAGTGGAAGGAATGAGTGGAAGGAATG